TTTTTCCATGTCATTAGTTAAGCAAAAAAAGAATTGATTTGCTGGCATTTTAACGTGTGACCTGTCATTTAACTGATGGAAAGACCATTTTGGTACTGAAAATGAAAGTTTAAGGATAAATTTAGTACTTTTTAAAGTTAAGGGATGATTTTGGTGCCAAAGTGAAAAGTTGAGGGACCAAAATGGTACTTAAACCTATATATATATATACACACACACACACATTTATATATATATAAGGAAAAGTACATATCAATTCTCAAAATAAATTAAAGTTTTAATCTTAAACGATGTTATTTTATTTAATTAAATTTCAACCATCGAAAGTGAAAAAATACATGGTCAAGATTTGTCTAAGTGTGGTATGTAAGATTTATGTGTGAATGGATCCATTCTCACATAAATTTTACACACCACACTTACACAAAATCTCAACAATTTATTTCTTCACTTTCAATGGTTAAAGTTTTCATGACTTTTTAGGTGAAATGATACACTTATCCTTCAAACCAACACACTACCTTATACACTTGTGGTTCAAAGATTAAAATACAATATTTTCATGTTAAAAGCTTATCCCTTGCATGTCCATAACAAGCCTATTAAATGTAATTCTTGACGTTAAAATTTCTCTACATTCCATTCATTTTTCTTGTCTCTTTTCTTTCTCTCTTCCTCCATCACCATTTCTCTACCCTCTCCTTCCACATCTCTCACAAGTTCTTCACCGTGTAGATCTAGGCAACCCTCTTCTTCGCACAATATTGGTTCTTTGATTTTCAACCTTCTTCCCTCTTTTCCCTCATCTTCCTTTCTTTTTCTTCTTCTTTCGCTCTCCTCCCCTTTTCTTCTATCTTTTCCCCCCTTCCTTGATTTGTTGAAGGGGAACCCAAATCTATTTTCTCTAAGAGAACCTGTGGATTCTCAAGGAGAACCTAGATTTGGGTTTTCTTAGAGAACCCATGGGTTCTCAAGGAGAATCCATATCTAGGTTGGGTTTTCTTAGAGAACCCATGGGTTCTCAAGGAGAATCCATATCTAGGTTCTCAAACTTGGAGAAGGACACCAAAGGAGAGAGAAGGAAAAAGAAAGAGGAAAAGGGAAGGAGGTAGAATATAATAAATTTTTATAAATTTTTGTTAGAGTTTTTACAATTTTAATAATATGGTGTGTTGTTTGGTTGCTAAGAAAATTGGAGGTGGCAAGAAAATTTCCTTTGTAAAATAGGTTTGATTCCTAAGAAAATCTAAGGTGACAAGAGAAACTTTCATTGTTCTTGAGAAATGGAACATCACAGACGGCATTATCATTCTTAATGAGATGGTACATGAAGCCAAGAATAGCAAAAGGCCAACTTTAATCTTCAAAGCAGACTTTGAGAAAGCATACGATAGTATAAATTAAAACTTTCTCAACAATATGATGAGAAAATTTGGATTCTACCCAAAATGTAGAAACTGGATCCAAGAGTGCATTTCATCAGCCACAGTCTCAATCTTGGTAAACGATAGTCCCACTGAAGAGTTTCAGATGGAAAAAGGACTTCAACAAGGGGACCCCTTAGCTTCGTTCTTATTCCTCATGATAACAGAAGCTCTAAACAGGCTTACATTAAAACCAGTGATAGACAATATGTTCTAGGGAGTTGAAGTTGGAAAAAGTGGCTTGAAAATCTCACACCTCCAATTCGTGGATGACTCCATCTTCCTCTGTAAAGCAACTGAACATAATGTGGTCACACTAAAGAGTGTTTTAAGATGCTTTGAATTATTATTTGGCCTAAAAGTAAATTTCTTTAAGAGCTTTCTTGTAGGATTGAATGTTGAAAAGAATGACCTGGATATGTTTGCAGAAAAGATGAATTGCGTTATAGGACAAACTCCTTTAAGTATCTAGGGTGTTGATTGGTACAAACCCGAGAAGAGTAACCACATGGGCCCCAGTGGTAGATACTCTGTGAAGGAGACTATCTAACTGGAAGAGGGACTTATTGTTGTTGTACCTATGATTTTGATGATTACAAAACACATTTGAGTGACTAATTGATTTATTTAAGTGTGTAGTTAAATTGCCAATGTACTGCAAAGTAAGCAAAATGAGATTGAATTAAAA